CATTCAGAAGTGGAAGCCCATTTTAAACTCACCCACAGGCACTGGCTTGAATCTGGTGCGTAGGTGAGATAAAAGAAGTCGTGTCCATGAAGGCGTGTGCAGGACCAGGGAGGGAGCAACTGGTGGGGCGCACCTTCAGCAGATCTGAGGCCTGACTCTGACCCCCCCTTGCACTTTTTAAAAAAAATTTTTATTAGTGAAGCACCATGAGGTACAGTTGTAGACTTACAAACTTTAGTGCTTGGGTTTCAATTATACAGTGATCAAATACTCATCCCTCCACCAGTGCCCATTTTCCACCACCACGGATCCCAGTATCCCTCCCACCCCCCCATCCCCCCATCCCACCCTGCCTCTGTGGCAGGGCATTCCCTTTTGATCTCTCTCCTCTTGGGTGTTGTGGTCTGCAAAAGAGGCATTGAGTGGCAATCATGTTCGGTCCATAGTCTACTTTCAATATGCATCTCCCATCCTGGGAGGATCCTCCAACTACCCTTTATTTGGTGCTCCCTTCTCTATCTGAGCTGCCCTTTCCCCTAAAATGCCCGGCTGGCCTCTGAGCCATGGAGTAATCCTCCTGGTACTGATCTCGGCTATTCTTGGGTATTAATCTCCTATTTTGTTACTTTATGTCCCCCAGATGAATGCAATCTTTTTAAAAGACATTTATTTCTTATTTATTTTTAACCTTTTTATTGAATCACTGTGAGATAGACCCTCACAAAGCTGTTTGTGATTGGATTTCAGTCATCAGTATTCCATCACCCATCCCTCCACACACAGTGTACATTTCTCAGCACCAGTGTCCCCAGGTTCGTTTCCATCACTCCCCATCCTCTATCCCCTGCCTACCTCTGTGGCAGATGCTTTTCTTCTCTCTCTCTCTCACTCTCTCTCTCTCTCTCTCTCTCTCTCTCTCTCTCTCTTCTTTTGGCCATTGTGGTTTGCAGTATTGATACCGAAAGGTTATGAAAATAGCCCTTACCTACTTTTTTTTTTCTTTTTGGGTCACTCCTGGCGATGCACAGGGGTTACTCCTGGTTCTGCACTCAGGAGTCACACCCTGATGGTGCTCAGGGGACCATATGGGATGCTGGGAATCGAACCTGGGTCGGGCGCGTGCAAGGCAAATGTCCTACCTGCTGTGCTATCGCTCCAGCCCTGCCCTTACGTACTTTTAACCCTCAGATCTTGTCCAGTGTGATCATTCTCCGCTATTATTGTCATACTGGTCTCGTCTTTATCTTACCTTGCCTCACCCCCACACATAATTGTGGTTAGATCCAACCATTGACCAGTCCTCCTAACTCCTGTTTTCCCTGGCCATGGAAATTAGTCTTGTACAACATATATATATATATATATATATATATATATATATACACATATATATATTTATATCCCACAGATGAATGCAGTCATTTTTTATCTGTCCCTCTCCTTCTGACTCATTTCACTCAGCATGATACTCTCTGTGTCCATTCATTTAGAAGCAAATTTCATGACTTCATTTTTCCTAAGAGCTGCCTACTATTCCATTGTGTAGATGTGCCATGGTTTCTTTATCCATTCTAGTGTGTTCTGTAAGGACATTGATGTTGTTGTGCTTTTTCTAATAGATTGAGGGTCTGCAGTATTTTTTTTCTTTCTAATCAGGCCAGATCATTTCTATTGAATGAAAACTTAGATGTTAGGAGAGAGAAAGAAAGGATGTACGCAGACAAGGGGGAACAGGTGCTTCTTCAGAGAGAGCAAAGAAACAGACGGGTGAGCATGATTCGTGTTCCAGGGAGAATGGAGGCTGGAAGAGTAAGCCGATTTCTTATATCATGTCTTCATCCAACAGAGGGAAACAAAGGATTTTCCACTTACCTTTTAGAGGGGCATACGTTTAAAATTCAGAAATTAGAACAGAAAGTTTACAAAGGAAAGCTGGACTGGAGAGTTGGCACAGGGGTTAAGATACGAGTCTTGACTTGATCCCTGGCACTGCATGGTCCCCTGAGTGTCACTAGACACATCCCCGGAGGCGCTGAGTACCCCTGGCTGTGGCTCTTGCATGGAAGCACTGGTGGAGAGTCCTCAGGGAGGGTGGTCTGGCTCCTGGGAGGCAACTTTTCCTGCCCCCCAGGGAAGGCGTCATTTTCTTGGTGGAAAGTAAAAAAGTCATTTATGTTTGCTATCCTGAGTATTTCTGTATTCAAAGAGTACAAGTTGAGCTCTCACTGTGAAATTAGTTATTGTCGTGGATGACTGAACTAATTTTCTTCTTGGCTTTCAGAAACATGAAGTTTCTATTCTTCATTTGTTGCCTGTGTGTTATTTTATTTTCTTTTTTCCTGTATGTAATTTTTTTTTGTGGGGAAAGATCGAACCTGAGGTCCCATGTACAAGAGGCATTCTGAATCTTGTATGTGAATTTAGTTTGGTTTGTGGCCTCACTGTAGTAGCTTTTAAGTATTAGGAAACTAGAATCTTAAGGGTTTTTTTGGGCTTATTTTTATTTGTTTGTAGTTTGGGGTTTTTTTTTAGGGTCACACCCAGTGATACTCAGGGGTTACTCCTGACTCTGCTCAGGAATTAGTCCTGGTGGTACTTGATGGGCCATATGGGATACCGGGAATCGAACCTGGGTCAGCTGTGTGCAAGGCAAATGCCCTCCCTGCTGTGCTATCGCTCAGGCCCCTTCAGTGACGTTTTAGAGGACAGGGATACTATGTCTGTTGACAGTTCCTTTTTTTTCTTTTGTCACACCCGGCGATGCTCAGGGGTCCTCCTGGCTCTGCACTCAGGAATCACTCCTGGCGGTGCTCAGGGGACCATATGGGATGCTGAGAATCGAACCCAGGTCGGCCGCATGCAAGGCGAACACCCTCCCCGCTGTGCTATCGCTCCAGCCCCTGTTGACAGTTCTTGTCCATGAGAGCCATGTGCAGTCACATCACCAAAGAGAGGAAAAGATCAATTCAGCTGGTTTTGTCTTATGCTGTTTGATGGCTCTCTGGGGGAGGCTAGCCAGGAAGGTGAGTGTGTGATTGGATCGTGTCCGAAGGGCTCTGCAAGTTCCAGGAAGGGAGCTGGACCTTCACAATACCATGCTTGTTTGCCTTTCTCCCCAGTTTTCTGCTGATCCCTAGAGTGAAGCATACCATCTTGTTCCATCTTTGTAGGTCCTGTGTGCTGACTGAACAAATGTCTTCCCGAGACAGGAGATTCCTACAGCTAGTATTTGCTTTCCCCAAAGTCTCTGTGTCCTCGCCCCCTTCCTTCCGAAATCTATCGTATAGGAGAGCTCCTGAGATCAGAAAGCAGGAAAATGGCAGCTATCTGCTCTCTAGAGTTGGGAATTTCATTTTCCAGCTCGGTGTCTCCTGTTTCTATCTCTTGGGCCCTTGGCTGATTGATCAGGCCAGGATTTGACACATTGCCTTCTTCTTGAATCCAATGTGGACATAGCAACTGAAAATAAACACGAGGTGGATGGAGATGGGGCGAATTGGGGGCCTTGTTTGCCGAAGGAGCTGGGATGCTTGCTAGCCGTTGCTAAGATGTTTTGTGGCTTTAGCACTGCATCAATCATCGCAAGTCCAGCTGTGCTTTTGGAACGGAAAGCTGGAAAGCTGATGGAAGCACAAAGGCTTACTGAGGAGGATTATCCGGAACAATGGATACAGATGCAAACCATTACGCACAATCCAGAATATCACCCCCTTTTGGGAAGGGGATTTTTTTTTGGTACTCTGTGAATGTGCAGGATTTGTTCTGCTGTGAACTCAAAGTGTGCCAAGGCATCATTTCCGTTTTCAGAAGAGTTTTGTCCAAAATTTGAAAGATCATGAAAAATACCCGGCTGTTGCGTTTTAGCTCTTTGTCGCATTGGGGATGTGGCTAACGGTTTGCGACAGTAGAAGCTGGCTGAATTTGGGACTAGTTTCCTGAACTCGATACCATTTTTTTCTTTGCTCCATGTTGAAAATACAATAGAGGTTGGGTGTGAAAATTCCTTAAGAGATTTTTTACATAGGGCAAGAACCCAGGGCATTTGCCAAAGGAAAGTGATTCTTGGGGGGGTGGGAAGGAATAAAGTTTGGGGGTTAAGCACTAGTTGTGAGCCAACCCTGCCACAGATGAACTGTGAGGTCTTGGGGATGACGTTTAGTTCCTTCTTTCCTTCTTGCCTGTTTTCAAATCTGTAAAAGAAGGCTGATGATAGCCTTGTGTCACTGAGTTATGAGGATTGAGTAGGTCAATATTTGCAGATCAAAGAGATTTAAACACAGTGTCTGGTATATAATAAGCCCTGTGTCAGTTTGGCCTGCCACCCTCAGTCACTTCCTACTATATCTGTACAGTGTTATATCCTTTTTCTTATTGGTGTCCAGAGGCTAGAGTGGGTGATGAGTTAAAAACTTGAACGTGAATCCTATTGGATACTTTGGTAAATCAGAGCGTTTTCCTCCCTTCATATTGACATTATTATTACAGGCACCGTCATTGTGTCTAAACAAAAATGGAATCTATATTTAGAAGTCTGAAATTTTCCCTCAAAAATGATTTAGGGGTTGGGGCTGGAGAGATAGCACAGCAGGTAGGGCGTTTGCCTTGCACGCGGCCAACCCGGGTTCGATTCCCAGCATCCCATATGGTCCCCCAAGCACTTCGAGGGGCAATTCCTGAGTGCAGAGCCAGGAGTAACCCCAGTGTATCACCGGGTGTGACCCAACAAGAAAAAAAAATGATTCAGGGGTCAGAGCGATAGTACAGCAGGTAGGTCGTTTGCCTTGCACACAGATGACGCAAATTCGATTCCCGGCATCCCATATGGTCTTCCGAGCACTGCCAAGAGTAATTTCTGAGTACATAGACATAGGGAAGCCCTGAGCATCGCTGGGTATGACCCAAAAAGAAAAAAAAATGATTCTGCTTTTAGGTCCCTAGTTCCCCCTTTTGCAGTTTTCCAATAAGGTCTCACTGGAGCTTCTCTGATTCTGGTCCTAAAGAACTGCCGCTGCCTCGCTTCCTGATGTCAAAGACTGAGGGCGACCTCCGCTTTGGGAACCCAGCCGAGCCACACGGAACCAAGGTTCAGATTCCATATTTAGCCTCGGAAAAAAATACCTTCAAAAGAATGGACGAGGAGGATAACCAGGTAAACACTCCCTTAGGTCCTGGCCAGGAGACCCAAAACAGAAGGGCCTCAGACCTGTGCTCAAACTTCCAGTGTTCTTACCCTCTGGGAAGTGAGGACAGACTTGGAAGTGAGTTGGAAAAGTTTCCTGTAGCCAGACTGAGGGCTGGGTTGATGGCCTCGGAATCACCATGAGCCATGCCTGGGTCCCTTTGAGCCTACTTGAATATAGAACTGTGTTAACTGGAAGGGAATTTGTTAGTTAGACTTACATGCTTTCTCTAGACAGTATTTCCAAATAGGTTCTTTGAAATGCATTTTCTAGGGTTTTTTCCCTCCCCTCTCCAAAGAAGTCTTTGGTTAAATATCTTGGGAGAACACTGCTTCATATCCTGTTCTTACTGGAAAAGAGTGAATTCCTAGTTGTGGCAAGTCAGTATGTGTACATTGAAAGGCCCCAGAAGTCTTGCAACAAAGACATCTGCGTTTACTCAACTCCTGTAACCAGGGAATCCCTCTTCAGGGAGTGTTTTTTGTCAGGTTAGGGATGAGAATAGGGGGAATGAGCTTTTTCCTAAATCAGAGAACTAATTGCAATAGTTAAGGTGATGTTTGGTAAAGACTAAGTATAAAATTCCAGAAGATCGGGTCTATTAAAAACAAGTAACACCTCAGTCAACTCCTAGGCCATCAGGTGCACAGGTCCTACTTCTAGTCCTACTAATGCATTGTGTGGAAGGCAAGGTATAAAAGGTAAAGGTAAAGGCCCTCCCGTTGATCGTCGATTTGCTCGAGCGGGCCCAGTAACGTCTCCATTGGAGACTTTGTTGTTACTGTGTTTGGCATATCAAATACTCTCAGTAGCTAGGCAATATAATTTCTCCTGGAAGGCAGGAAATGTGTTTTTTTTTTAAGGAAGGCATGAATACAAAAATTTAAGACTGCAAGGACTATGAAAGGATGCAGATGGAAAGTAAATCGCTCTGTGTCCCATGACACCGCTGGAGAGCACAGACTTTTGTATTAGAGTTCCGTGTTACAGTGTCTCTTCATCAGCTCCAAGCGGGGATGCTTTCCTAATTCTGATACATTGATTGAAAAGTCGTTCATCAGGGACACCTATTTAAGAAAAAGGAGTATAGGCAAAAACTGTCATGGATCTCCTTATATTACTTGAAATCATACAAGGGAAGATAAACACAAACATGGGTATCAGATGATTTCTTTCATCTTTGTTAAGAAAATAAATGAACAAAACCCCAGATTCTTTTTTTTTTTTTGCTTTTTTTGGGTCACACCTGGCGATGCTCAGGGATTACTCCTGGCTCTGCACTCAGGAATTACTCCTGACGGTGCTCAGGGGACCATATGGGATGCTGGGAATTGAACCTGGGTGGGCCGCGTGCAAGGCAAATGCCCTACCCGGTGTACGATCATTCCAGCTCCCCAAACCCCAGATTCTTTCAGAACAAAATTGCCTTTCCCAGATGGGAATGGAAGAGGGGTAGGCAAGTTGGGTGACAGTGGGTGAAGCTTGTGGTGAGTGACGGATGCTACCCTTTTGATGGTGAGTGTAACGTCACATGGACAGATACAGGTACATCTGAAACCTATGTGTCATATCCTAAACCACTGTTACTCTAAGTTTTAGATAAAGGAGAATTGGACTCTTCAATCAGTTCTCTCAGTCATGTTTTCCCAATAGCTTTTGGAAAGGAATGAGGGCTCATTGTCTCAAATGTTCCCCACTGCCCTGAGCGCTTTTCAAACCCCTGCCCTGACTAGCTGATTGAGATGCAACCTTGTTTTTTTTTTTTTTTTTTTTTTTTTTTGCTTTTTGGGTCACACCCGGTGATGCACAGGGATTACTCCTGTCTTTGCACTCAGGAATCACTCCTGGCCGTGCTCAGGGGACCATATGGGATTCTGGGAATCCAACCCGGGTCAGCCGCATGCAAGGCAAACGCCTACCTGCTGTGCTATCACTCCAGCCCCAACCTTGTTTTTTTTTAATAGTGGGTTTGTGCTAGATGCAGCCCATTGGTGCACATGACCTCACACTTGAAATATTCTTTTCTCTTTACGAATATTTGATCAGTGTCTCAAATGGCAGGTTTTTAGACTCTAACCCCCTCTCAGGTCTCTGTGTTGACAGTTGTCACTTTCTCATAACGTGGTTGCTCCGAAATTCCTAATTTACTCGGTACCACCAGGCATGAGCACAGAGCTAGGAGTAAGCCCTGAGCACCTCTGGGTGTGTCCAAAACAAAACCCAAACCCCAAATTGTCACTGATCAAGTTACCCGTTTACCGGTAGCCTTGAAAGAAGTAGATAGGGACTAGTAGTGGAGTAAGCTTGCTTACTTTTTCAAGGTTCCTACGTGAACGTATTCAAATTGAGATTCAAATTATAGCTTGTTGAGGTTCTAGTATTTATGAAGATACCAGTTGGAACGCTTTACCCAAAGTGAATCGTTTTGAATATCGCCCTCTACACCATCCACCCAGAGCCGGCGTGTTCCGCAGACAGAGTAAAATATTCAGGATTAATCGCTGAAAAACATTTTTTTAGCGTCCAGATTTGCTAGATGGTTTGATACATGTAAATCCACAAACCGGGGGGACTTGATTAATGACTGAAAATTGAGTCTGTTCACGAAGAGATCCAAATTGGGGGAAATGAATGTACTTCATGTGATCAGTGTCGCTCATTTTCCAAAGGAAAATATTCTGAGTGGAACCGAAAAGTGAGCTAGGCTTGCTTTAGTCATTTGGGTAAGCGAGCCCTGGTGAGCCTGTTCTCTGGGAGACTTTTTTTTTTTTTTTCGAATCCCCAGCCACTGCTTTGGAACTGGGCTGCCTTTTGGGGAAGGAAGTGTTGCCTTCATCGGTAACCTCGGGCAGCTTGCAAACAGTAGAGTTGCATTATACTTCAGAACTGCAGCTCCGAGCTCCTGGCTCGTCCAGGGATGCCTCTGAACTCTGCTCTGGTTCTTTGAAGCAGGAAGCACAGTCTCCTACGATGTCACCCCTCGCCTCCCCTCCTTCTTCCCCACCTCATTACCAGAGGGTGCCCTTGAGCCATGGCTACGGGAAACTGCGGAGCAGCACGGAGCAGATTCATCCAGGTAAGCTGAGACCCGGGGCCGGCTGGTCCAGCCAGTGTCTTACACTTCTTTATTCCCCAACCAGGACCCCCCTCTGCCCCCCTCCCCCCACCTTTGGACTTAATTACCTCCATCATTTAGAACTTGAACTGATTTAACTGTATACTCTCAAGTGCGATTTTCTTTTTTTAAAGAAAGAAAATTAAAGATGTCTTAGTAAATGTCTTATCACCCACCCTCCAAACTAGTTCATCTTGAGATTTGTAATTCAGATGATTTCATTCTTCGTCTGCAGCTTTCATTTGAAAGGAACCTGGCATTTTAAGGGTTTTTTTTTTAAATTTGGTGGGGGGGGATGGAAGATTATAGATTATTATTTCTTTATGCAAACCCATGTATGAATAACTGTCTTTTGCAGAAGTACTGGGACATAGAACTGTGCAAAAGCCCACGGGTCAGTTTGACCCTTCAGGACTGACCTCACATGTGAAAATAGTTAGCTCTGTGACTGGAAAGAAGAATGAGGGACGTTCCAGGAGCGGCGTTTTTGCTGAAACGTGTGCACAGTGGTGTGCTCGGCGCAGGGGGTTGCTAGTTTGCCAGCGTTTGTATTGTGCTGGCCTTGTGAGTGTGGTGAAACGGTCGTTGGTTCCGAGGATGACTTGCAGAACTGGCACCGGGGCCGCAGTGCTTCAAGCTCCACATTCACTGCAGTTTCTTGTTCACCCGGGGCTCGCCACCTCGCTTTCGAGAGGACCAATTGAAGGGCCCTTGAATTCAAATAGCTGCAACCCACCCCCCTTTTTAATTTTGTGGACTGTGACGGATAATGACCCAGTTTCAGTAGGTTTTTGCTGCACTGAAAAGAGTAGTGACTGCTTAGAGGGACACACAGAGGGAGAAAAAAAATGTGTGCTGGGCTGGCCCAAAGAGAGGCTGTAATCTTGTGTGGAAAAACAGGTGTGGCGCCATAGAGATAGCTTTTGATTAGAATCAGAAGGCAGGTGTCCTCGACTACCTCTGTGACCTTGGGCCATCCAGCCCCTCCGAATCCTGATTATTATTCTACTTTCAAAGAGAGCACCAGTACCTGGAGTGGGGCAGTGGGTTAGGCAGGACTGGAGCAGAGAATGTTTGGCAAGGAAGCAAGATAATGTTCTCCTGCAGACGCCAACTGCCCCTTGGGTCTCAGACAACACTGGAAGAGAAGTTTTCCGTTTCCTTTTCCAGTCTCTCCTGCCTAACTCCTGGGTTTGAGAATCGGATGTAATCTCTTCCAGCTCTCATTTGAGCTGGGAAGTTCCAGTAATGCACATAGCATGGTGTTTGCGTTTTTGTCTTTCGTCCAGAGGTGACTCCTGTTTAACTCTGTGCCGGCAGCCTCTTGCCTCTTGTTCTCCTACCTTTGAGGTGGACCCTAAGGGTGCCATGATTGCCTGCACCTCAGACTTTTATTTATTTTTTAAATTGAATCGGACTGGAGCGATAGCATAGCAGTAGGGTGTTTGCCCTGCATGTAGCCAGCCTGGCTGAGCCGGGTTTGATTCCTCTGCCCCTCTCAGAGAGCCTGGCAAGCTACCGAGAGTATATCGCCCACGTGGCAAAGCCAGGCAAGCTACCCGTTACGTATTCAATATGCCAAACACAGTAACAACAAGTTTCAAAATGGAGATGTTACTGGGCCCGCTCGAGCAAATCGATGAACAACGGGGAGGACAGTGTTTTTAATTGAATCACCGTGAGATACAGTTACAAAGCTGTCATGTTTGAGCTTCAGCCATACAATGATCGAACACCCATCCCTCCGCCAGTGCACATTTTCCACCACCAATTATCCCCACCCCCCATCCCATCCTCACCCTGCCTCAATGGCAGACAATTTCCCCAATATTCTCTCTCTCTCTCTCTCTCTCTCTCTCTCTCTCAGTTTTGGGCATTATGTTTTGCTCGAATTTTCCCACCACCGTTCAAGCCTGCCTGCCAGGCGCAGACGCTTGGTAATTTACTTTCCATTGTTCCTTTCGAATCTCATGAGAGCTCGCGTGGCTGCTTTTGTGGCCGCGCGCTTCTGGAATCCTAGATTGTAAATGGTTGGGTTCCAGAGACCTCTCTGGAGGGCATAATGCATTTTGAGATTCAATTGGGAGTCTCTAGACCAGGGCCATTGGTGCGCTAAGATGGTGCCTGGAGGCAGATTGTGGGCATGACAGCCAGCGTCAAGCCAGGGATGCTGGGGAGAAACAGCCTGGCTCCTTGGTGGCAGAGGAGCTGGCATGCAGCCTGGAGACTTAGTCCTGGCACCCGCATACCTGGGCCTTGCTTATGGAAGCTCTTGGTTGCCGGGATTCCATCTGGAGTAGGCAGGCACTTCAGACTTTTGTCAAAGTGAGGTGAGGGCTGAGCTTGCTTCGTGGCCAGATGCATGTGCCTTGCAAGCACGAGGTTGTGAGTTTGATCTTTAATGTTATCCACGTGCGCCAAGTGTTGGGCTGGTGATACTGTTGTCTGGGATCCCCAGTGCTGCATCCCTAGTGCACTACACCCCAGTGTGTGTGACCCCCACAACTGAGGTATGCGTCCCTCTGCACATTCTGGAACAAAAGATATTTGACCCCCGGGTGCAAGCGCTGCAGCTAAAGTGTTCATACCCTTCTATGTTCATTGCTGTACTGTTCACAATAGGAAAAACCCGAGTGCCCGAGAACAGATGACTGGTTAAAGAAACTTTGGTACATCTACACAATGGAGTACTATACAGCTGTTAGAAAAGATGAAGTCATGAAATTTACATACAAGTGGTACTACATGGAAAGTATCATGCTAAGTGAAATGAGTCAGAAAGAGAGGGACAGACATAGAAAGATTGTACTCATCTGGGGAATATAAAGTAACAAAATAGGAGACTAACACCTAAGAATAGTCAAGATGAGTACCAGGAGGTTTACTCCATGGCTTGAAGGCCAGCTGCACATGCCAGGGGAAAAGGCAGCTCAGATAGAGAAGGAAGCACCAAATAAAGGGTGTTGGGAGGATCCTCCCAGGATGGGAGATGCATACTGAAAGTGGACTATAGACTGAACATGATTGCCACTCAATGCCTCTCTTGCAAACCAAGCACCCAAAAGGAGAGAGAGTACAAAAAGGAATGCCCTGCCACAGAGGTGGGGTGGGATGGGAGGGTAGGGGGTGGGAGGCATACTGGGACCCGTGGTGGTAGAAAATGGGCACTGGTGGAGGGATGGGTACTTGATCATTGTATAACTGAAACCCAAGCACAAAAATTTGTAAGTCTACAACTGTACCTCGTGGTGTTTCACTAATAAAAAAAATAAAGTGTGCGTACCACAACCAAGTGTGTGGACATCAAAAACAACTTGTGCAGGACCAAAGGGAAGGGGGAGCAATTCCTGAAGTGAAAGCATCAGGAGGGAGATTAAAAGTTCCCAATGAGGGGCCAGAGTGATAGCACAGCGGGTAGGGCATTTGCCTTGCATGCAGCCGACCCGCATTCGATCCCCTGCATCTCCTGTGTTCCCCTGAGCACCGCCAGGAGTAATTCCTGAGTGCAGAGCCAGGACTTAACCCCTGAGCATTGCTGGGTGTGACCCAAAAAGCAAAAAAGAAAAAAAAAGTTCCCAATGATAAAATGCACACACTTAAAATCTCCAGCTTAGGTTGTAGCAAGCGGAGATGCCCAGGAAGCCACTCGTTAGTGAAGAATGGGACATTCATTACTCCAGAGGTGTCCTTCTGAGCCATTCCCTGTATTCTGGAGTGAGCGTCGTTCTGGTAAATTTACCACCAGAGACTAGCTGTGCCTTTCCTACAGCTTCCTGTTCAGTGGAATCTTTTGCAATGGTCATGCTCTTCATGTTTCTGCTCTCTATCCCTTGGCTTGAGGGTTGAAATGTCCCCATTCTGTGTGTCTCAGTTGTTTGTCCCTTTTCATTACTTAGTCATGTTCCACTGCACCAATGTACCACAGTTTGATGATACATTTTTTCTTTGATGGGAGGTTGGGTTCTTGCTGGTATTTGGCTGCTATGAATAAGGATCCTATGACCACTGATGTGTGAGTCTTTTTGTGATGTATGCTGTCATTTTCCTGGCACCTCAGAGTGGAAGAGCTGGATCTTAGGGTAAGTGTACTGAAACCCCCAGAGTTAGACAAGATTGACTGTGTAGGGGCTGGAGCGATAGCACAGTGGGTAGGGTTGCACGTGGCCGACCCAGGTTCAACTCCCAGCATCCTATAGGGTCCCCCGAGCATCGCCAGGAGTAATTCCTGAATGCAGAGCCAGGAGTAACCCCTGTGCATCTCCAGGTATGACCCAAAAAGCAAAAGCAAAAAAAATAAAAGATTGACTGTGTACTCCTGTGGTAATGGCCAAGAGTTCCGTAGCTCCTGGCTCACATTTGATACTCTCAGTGATTTTTTTTTTCTCCTCTGTATTTTAAAATTCTAGCTATTCTATTGGATGAGAAGTGACATCTCTTGGTAGTCATCCTTTTATTCTTGAAACACCGTTTTTTGTTTGTTTGTTTGTTTCTGTTGCCGTCTTTCTCTCCCCCTCCCACACATCTCGATCCTTTAATTGGCAAGCAGTTCTTCCAGAGGGTTCTCCTCTGCCCAGTGTGGAGAGAGGAAGGAGAGAACAGCTTCCTGTTTTCTCAAGGATTGGTCCTTTTCTGGGGTTAGCTAGCAATTAGGAGGTTTTTAGAGCCCTGTGGCAGAGAATAAGGTCATTCATAAATAAAATGGAGAGTGGATTTTCACTTGGATTTCTTCACCTGTCGGAGTCAAAGGAAGGGCGAGGCTTTCCATCTGCAACCTAAGTTTTCTTGAGAGTTTTGCTTCTGAGGGCTAGTGATCACTTTAGACCTTGTTCATTCCTATTTTTAAAATGTATCTGGATTCCCAACCCCCACTGCGAGTTTTTTTTTTAACCTTGCTGCTTTTTTCCCCTGTCATACACATTTAACCCAAGAGAAGCCTATACCTTCGTTCTCTCTCCTCCCAC